TAATAAATAAGAAACACCCTCGGTCTGTAGCCTTTGGCTGAAAAGTGGTTTTGCGCAACTCATCAGATCGTGCGCTTTAAGTGGCGCCACCGTCGTTGTAATCAAACTGTAGTCGTTGGTTTTAAAACATTTTTTAATAATATTTCTAATGGTGATTGAACCATGAAACTTTTTATGTAGCTTAATTTTAACTTAAATTAACTGAAAATAACCCTAGAACCTAGAGTAAACTATCCCTTTAAGCCACCGGGGGCCTAGGGCTCCGCTGGCGCAATAATACACCGTGCAAGTGATGCAGCCTACCTTTCTTTGCTGGAGGCGGTATATAGCTTACAACCAAGGCTTTCCACACACTATACTATACAGGAGGCCTTCGGCCCCCTTCATACACAATACTATATTATCAGGGGTTAATAATGACAAATATTTGACAAATTTGACAATAATTGACAAAAATTCTTGTTAACCCCTGATATTATGTGGCCTTGGTGGGCCGCCAGCATACACTATAGCTATACTATACAATACTATGTAGATGGCATTAGGCCACCGTCATATACAATACTACATATGTGGCCTTGGGCCTCCATCATAAACTATTCTATTATTACAATACTATATAGGTGGCCTTAGGCCCCCGCCATACAAATATACTACATATAAGGCCTTGGGCCCCCATCATACACTATTATTACAATTCTATATAGGTGGCCTTAGGCCTGTGACCGTACGTCGAGCGGTTAAGATTTGTGCCCAACTGTTGACGCCCGGACGGACGCACGGACGGACGCACGGACGGACGCACGGACGGACGCACGGACGATCAAGCGATTCTACAAGCTGCATCTAACTATGTCAGATGAGCTAAAAAGTAGTGCTATATAATAATCAGCGGGTGATTCAGGCATCTCTATCGACATCGGCTTGATTGGAAAAATTCGCTGTGCGACTGCATTAATAAAACATAAACATGATGTCAAAATATTCATGACAATACATCAGTGTTGGTTCTTCATTTTGCTTATGGTGGGCGAAGGGGTACCAGGAAATAGCGTAAAAAAATTAGGGCTACGGGGGGTCCAAAAGGTTGGGAACCACTGCTGTACAAGTCTATGTATGCCAATCAACGCCATGTTTTATTATTTATAAATGATTATTTAGTGAACAAACCGATCGTAGACGAAATGGGAACCGAATGGGGTAGATTTTGAGCGTAGACGAATTGGCAGTAGGCGAAATGGATGTAGGTCAACTGGGAATTTTGCTGTAGGCGAAATGGAAGTAGGCCAACTGGGAATAAACCATTAGATGAACCCAATGCATTTTCGCAATGTGCGACATGTGCAAATGTGGACAGCTGCATATCCTTGGGCCAACGCCACCGAATATTCATATACAGGTGCAGGGAGGAACATAGCTCTAGTACTAAGTACTATAGCCCACGTACAGTGACTGCTGCAGGGCTATAGAACATCTTGAACTAGATTTCGCAGCTGCGCTAGCTCCCAAAAGTGCCCACGAAAAATCGCTCACAAGACGCAAAATGATCGGGCTTTTTAACACTTATCTATCTACGTGGACATCTCACCTATCTTTTTGAACACTTTCCACAACTATACACCATGTATTTATGCATTTATTACTCACAAGTCAGCACTACTGGCAATTCCGTTTAAAATATTGTGGCGTGCGCACGCGTGACGTCACCGTATATTGTATATACGTCACATTGTATATACATGCACCATAGCTGCCATGTGTTTTGCCTACATATCCGGTGACGTCACGTGTGCGCACGCCACAATATTTCAAATGGAATTGCCAGTAGTGCTGACTTGTGAGTAATAAATGCATAAATACATGGTGTATTTTAAAGTTGTGGAAAGTGTTCAATAAGATAGGTGAGATGTCCACGTAGATAGATAAGTGTTAAAAAGCCCAATCATTTTGCGTCTTGTGAGCGATTTTTCGTGAGAACTTTTGGGAGCTAGCGCAGCTGCGAAATCTAGATCAAGATGTTCTATAGCCCTGCAGCAGTCACTGTACGCGGGCTATAGTACTAGAGCTAGGAGGAACATATAGCTCCAAGAAACGGTATTGCTAGGGTTAGAATACCGTTTCAAATTCTTGCCCATAAATCCTTGTAGTTGGCTCGGTATCCAACCATCGACACAGCTAGCGTCACATGTAATAGCTCAAACAAATCTATAAACCTCTGGCTTGCTCGCGGTAACTGGGAGCTACTGGGCGCTACTTATTTATCGAGTTATGCCGTTTTTCTGAGATGAATTGGATCAAAACAACCAGACAGCCGCCATGTCCGCCATGTTCAGTGTGACTAAAATCGGCAATGGACCTGATTTTAACAGTGCGTAGGCCTTAACACAAAGCAAGTACTTATCTTCGCAGTGATAATTATAAGTTGTTGTAGATTGATGTTTCCTAGTTTTCAATGTTTTAATACTTATATATATACGAGTATATGATGCTTATTTATGCTCGCGCCAACGCTATGGTATGTTATGTCGTTTCGGGTTTTCCGCGTGCCGTTCCAAAGCATGCGCACTGGAAACATGGCGGTTGGCGGTTAGTTGAAACTTTGGTTCGGCTCTTGAAATTTACACTGTGCACAGCGAACTGAGGTATTAGTTTGGAAGTGTCTAAACAACCGGATCCGGTTTCGGTATCCTGCAAACTAAACAACCGGCTCTCTTCTCCGATTGGCTAATTTGGTCACTATTTCATTTTGTATTATTTTTGGCTAATTTTATTTTATTTTAGAATTAGAGATAGGGTTAGGGTTAGGATTGTGAGGGTTAGGGTTAGGATTAGGGACTATAGCCCTAACTTTTAAGTTGGTTTCAGTGGCTCAACGGTAGAGCTTTCGCGTCGTGATAGTAAGGGACCGTGTTCGAACCCCATAAGATGTTTTTATTTTCCTCTGCTTTTTGTATTTCTTTGGATTTTATTTGTTTCTGCATTTATTTGTTCTGTAACTTTTGTTTATGTTCGGAATTAAATATATTTCTTTATGTTTTGCATTAAAAATTGTCCTATTATATATTTGTCCTGTTATGTTCGGAAACTGACCAATCACTAAATCAGAGAAGAGAGCCGGTTGTTCAGGCCTCCGAAACCGGGTCCGGTCGTTTAGACACTACCTATTACTAATACTAGCGTATGCGGCGGGGTGTGCAAAATGAAAACGAAACGTCACGAATTCTATTTTTATCCTCCAATCACAGATCGGTGCAATTCCTCTGTTTAGACGCATGTATTGTAGTATTACTATTAGTTTTAATAACAACGCTGGACTACTAATACTAATAGTATACTATAATAAGGTGAAGGTTATACAAGTTAATACAAAACAAGGCAGAAATGCTTAGATGATTATTTTATTTGAGATATACGTAATTGTTCGGCAGTTTTTGTAGAGGTACAAGATTTTCCAATGGATGGATGTCAGGCTGCATATTGACGTCAGTCACACGGCCTGGTCGGGTTACGGTTAGGAGGAACACTGAAAATCAGTCTTCATTTTGATAACATGACGTGTAATAATTAATCAAACAATTCGTTAAATTGTTAGCATAAATGACAATATACGTTACGTACAGAACAGTATACGCTGTCCTGGAATAGTTTCGAACTAATAATCTCCCACTCCCAGAGTGTAAAGATGCAAAACATTTCAGCATGGGCGCAGCCATCATAGTCTAATGCATGATGGGATTGACTCGGCTGCGTATGATGCAAACTCCACGACAGATGGCGCTCTCGCCCATGGGCTCAATCAAACGAGAACAGACCACTGATCTCTATAATATATATATATTATAGATATATATTATATATTATATATTATATATTATATATTATATATTATATATTATATATTATATATTATATATTATATATTATATATTATATATAATAATATATGATATATATTATAGAGATCAGTGGAACAGACCACTATTAAATCCTCCATAGGATCCTATACTTGAGAATTGAATTTCAAGAGCTGAAAAATAGTATTTCGACCGTTTTCGGCCGAGTGGCAATATTAAAGCTAGGTAGCCATATACTTCAGCTGTGCACCGTTAGAGTTATGACATATGTACGTTGTCCGGCGTTTTAAAAAAAAGATCGCGAATTTACTAACCGACACCACATTTGTGCCTGAAAAACAGTCGCGCAGTCGAATGGGGACCATACATTGAAAGAATTCGTTTTAAATTAACAGTAACCATCCACCCATCTCCATGTGCATGTCATTCCCACACTCGATAGCCAGCCTAAATAATGCAACCACAAAACATCGCGTCAGCTTTAGTGCAGGAGCTGCGGGCCCTCCAATTGGTCGCCCGATGACGCGTCACATCCTCTAACCTAACCGGTTAGCGTGATTTTTTTCCTTGGGATAATCAAGAACATAGAGTTCCGAAGTGGCTGACTTGAAGACTGTATAGTCAATTCCCCCTCCCTCGCTGTATTTATTTAAAAAAAACTTGTGATATATGTAACAATGTAATATACTTGAAAGCGTAAATAAATTTCAAAATCTCTAAAAAAAATCTAGGGCTCTAGTGAGCGCTGCCATTGGTTGAGCTTGTTTTGTCGCTCAATGACGTCACAGTGTCGTCATATTCACAGCATATCCATAATCAATAATTCCAATAACCCTGAATAGCCGAACGAGTACAGTAGACACGTCACGGCTGAAAGGTCATTGGATCGAATCCCATCCGTTTTTTAATTATTTTCCTGTTTTTTGTATTTTTCTATCTTTATCCACTTAACAATTTTTTTCCAATTAACGCAAATAATTACATGATTTATTTACAACAATTTAATAACAACAATTAACTTTTACAACAATTAAAAATCTAATTTTTTATATTAAAAAAAAATAGGGTTAGGGTTAAGGCTAGGGTTAGGGTTTGTAAGGTCACAATGCACCATAAAACAGGAGTTTGAAGCACGTGATTTGTATCAACCAATGGCAGCGCTCACTAAAGCCCTATGTTCTTGATTACCCTAGGAAAAAAAATCACGCAACCGGTTAGACCTAATTCCTAACGGGTAATGCACCGGTAGTGATTTAATAGTGGTCACGTGTCATAAATCAGTTGATTTATATGCTCTGGTTGTACGAAGGGAGCACTGCATGCAGTTTGGTGATCTTTAGGAAGCACACAACAGAAAGTCTCTAGAAAAGGCCTTTTGGGCATTTTTTTCGCCGAAATTCGCCACTAGACTATCATAACTATACACACGAATATCACAACTATACGCGACAAGACCAATTTTACTTCTAATGCTTTATGTCCACGAGGCATCTAACTTGCGTGCATAATGCAAATTATTGCACTCTAGTGACTAGACCCCCTCCCCCGCATCGGCTACATATTTCAGCAGTAGCACTTTTTGGGAGGCCACTACGGCCCTGCAGATATCCACATCCAAGTGTGGCATACTCTCAAGGTTTTAGGCAAAATTTTACCGATTTTTTATTTTCAATTTTATTTGATGGCTAACACTATGTACCACCTTCGTACATGCTCATTTCTTTATATAACGGTACATGTGAACTGTCAGAGCATGCTTACATGTGTAGTGAGCAGCGGCTGACGTCATGATGACGTCAGATACATGATACAACCACGATATTCACTAAGCCAGTATCATTCAGCGTCAACCCTGCTACAGCTGTCATTACATGTATTCATGTACATTCATGTACATCTGCTAGTGATCAAACAATTAAGTATCCCACGCCCATTCTGGTTCTAACACCTCGCAACACACCTTACTGTAGTGCGGTACAAGGCGCGCGTTTGTTGACATATTAGCTTTGTGACGTCAGGATGAGCGGAGTTCGCGCGTTCTGCGATGGTAACCTCGTAATTTCTCAGAATTTATTAAGGTGCATGGAACATTTTACCAATTTAGTGGTGTCTGTTAGTCATGGATATGTCGCAGTAAGTACTAACAATAGATATTTCACATACGTTCACCCATTTTTCACACAGGCGGTCGATCATTGTGAAAAATAGAAAAACGCCGATTTCTCAGTTCCGATTTCTGATTTGGGGAATCGCGAAAAGGACTCAGGATGTCGAATTTGGGAGTCAATGGTCAAAGGTCAAGCTGTGTCAATAGAGGGAGAATATTTCCCCCTATAGGAGGAAATACGGAATTGCGGCACAAATCTCAACGGCTCGACCTACGCTCTTAATATTCGATGTATAGTGTGATTGGGATAAGGAAACCATCACCAGCGCGAAATTGTGAGGTCACAGCGTTTAAAGGGCAGTGGGGCGAAAGGTCAGGATATCAGACATATTTTTCTGAAGACATGGCTAACGGCACGCAGATGCAAACTTTTTTGTTTCAGCGCTGTGACCTACCGTTGTTTATCACCTTTATGAAAGGACCATGAAATCCGACTTTCTGCTACGTGCGAAATGAGTAAGTAGACTACCTGGATTAAACCGTTTTGATCATCTCTCAAGCATGAGTGGGGTTAAACTATGGACTTGGATAGTACTGTTAACAAAAGGACTGAACTGCCTTTGCTATTAGAGCTCGCTCCACCGCCCCTTCCCCACCCCCTCTCCTGCCTTCTCTCCCCCTCACCCTCCACCTCCCCCACACCACACTACGCTACGCGCTCGACGCTATATCAGGATAACATGTTAATATAGGCAAAGTATAAAGTTACACAAGCTGTATCTTTATTTACTGTACTACCATAGGTATGCAAAAGCCTATCATTTAGATTTTAGATTCTGTATTAGTAGCTATATCATATGCCTCGCGTGCGGCGAACGCAGTGGGGCAGTGAGGCGCACTTGATTCGCGTGCCAAGGAGTGAGTTAGTCCAGAAGAATACCTGGCCTACAGTACACGTCAGATTGAGCGCTGTCGCGCTGCGACACTTGTTGGGCGTCTGTACATATTGTGCTTAACATGTGGCAAAACATTTTTTTTATCCTCACTCTCTCTCTCTGGTAATTGATAAATATACAAAATACCTTATTTTACAAAAAAAATTCAAAAATTTGTGTCGGTAACATAAATTTAGGTGCTGAAATTTCATTGAGAATTTTTGGCTTGAGCATACGAGATATATCTCCTCTATAAATAAAAGAACAAGTGATTAATTGGATTCGATATTCATTCGCTCAATAAACGTTTAAATCTCATTAGAGCAATACCCGTGCAAAATGGGTGGGGAGATATCCTTAAAGGATATGTAGACTCTAGGATTTTACTGCAATACAACTCGTAGGACCTCCTTACTGTTATAATAAATCGTCCTAACACCCACACGTATTTGTTACCAGATCCTAATTTAATTGTTATAATTAATTACACATTAACGCTACAATAAGTTTGAACGGCGCCATAGAACCGCGACCGCTGCTGCTGCCACCCAGAAAAGTTGGTTATTTGACCATTCATTTGCACGCTACAGGTGACCGAGGGCTAATCACAAGAACAGTCGCAATGATTATTTATTACCTAAATGTTTTTATTACACCGAAGCCGAATATTCATTTCTAGGGCAAATTTATGACATATATATAACTGAAAATTATATGTCGTTCTATAAGATATTCAATCCTTATTGCTTTTAAATATAATAAATAAGAAACACCCTCGCCGTCTGTAGCCTTTGTACTGAAAAGTGGTTTTGCGCCGAACTCATCAGATTCGTGCGCCTTTAAGTGGCGCCACGTTCGATTGTATATCAAACTGTTAGCTCGTTGGCTTTTAAAACATTTTTTAATATATATTTCTAATGGTGATTGAACATGAAACTTTTTATTGTAAGGCGTTAATTTTAGAACTTATAAATTAACTGAATATAACCGTAGAACTAGAAGTAAAACTATCCCTTAACAGCCACACGGGGGCCTTGAGCCGCATGCTGGCGCAATTAATACACCCGTGCAAGTGATGCAGCTACCTTTCTTTGCTAGGGAGGCGGTATATAGCTTTACAACCAAGGTTTGCCACAATATAATACTGATACAGGGGCCTTCCGTCCCCCTTTTCATACACAATTACGTAATACTATAATCCGAGGGTTTTAATAGCATAGAAGAAATAGTTGACAAATTTAGCAATATAATTGACACAAAAATTCTTGTTAACCCCTGATATTATGTGGGCCTTGGTGGCCGCCAGCATAACTACTATAGCTTTATACTAATACAATACTATAGTAGATGGCATTAGCCACGTCATACTTACAATACTTAAATGTGGCCTTGGGCCTCCATCAATAAACTATTACTATTATTACAATAATATATAGGTGCGCCTTAGGCCCCCGCCATACAAATATATTACAATTAAGGCCTTGGGCCCCCATCATACACATATTATTTACCAATTCTATTATAGGTGGCCTTAGGCCCACGTCATACAAATATATATATTTGTGGCCTTTGGGCCCCATCATACACTATCTCCTATTATTACAATTTACCTATCATTAGTTGGTGGGCACTTAGGCCCACGTCAGTGACAAAACTCATATATTGTGGCCTTGTTGGCCATCTCAGCAGTACCACTATTATTCTACAGTGTCTATATAGAGATGCTTAGGCCACACCTTCATATACAATGACTATATACGTGGCTTTGGGCCCTCATACACTATTCTATTATTACAATTCTATTATAGGTTGTGCGTCTTTAGGCCCTCCCGTCTTTCAAATACTATATATGTCGGCCGTGGACCCCATCATACACTATTCTATTATGGATTACAATACTATACTAGATGCGGTGCGCTTTTAGGCACCCTGTCATACAATATACTATATATGTGGCCTTGCGGCCCCCAGCATACACTATTATTTACAAATACTATACAGGGGCCTTTAGACGCCCCTCATATTACATTACCTATATTAGTGCCTTGGGCCTTCATACACTATTCTATTCTTTACAATTACTATATAGTTGGTCTTAGTCTCACCCCGTTCGCAATAACAAATTACTAGTATGTGGCTTTGGGCCCCAGCATACACTTTCTATTATTTAGGAATACTATATAGATTGGCCTTAGGCCCGTTCATACAAATACTATATGTGGCATTGGGCCCCCCGTGGCTTTACAACTTATATCTATCATTCACAATTCTTTTAATAGTGGTCTCTAGAGGCACCCGTCATACAAATCCTCTATATATAGTGGCCGTGGGACCCCATCATACACTATTCTATTATTACAATACTATATAGGTGGCTTTAGGCCCCTGTCATACAAATACTATATATGTGGCTTTGGGCCCCCAGCATACACTATTATTACAATACTATACAGGTGGCCTTAGGCCCCGGGCCGTCATACAAATAATATATTATGTGGCCTTAATTGGGCCTCCATTATACACTATTCTATTATTAGAATTCTATATAGGTGGTCTTAGGCCCCGTCATACAAATACTATGCTATGTGGCTTTGGGCCCCCATCATACACTACTATTACAATTCTATATATAGGTGGCCTTAGGCCCCCGTCATACAAATATAACGCCGGCACCACTATAACGTGCTACTAATAACTTAATTACCGAGTGCTGCACTGCCGCTTGTCTGTTTTTTCCTAGTTAATGCTATATCTATGCCTATGGGTAATACAATCGGCATATACCATGGTAACGTAAAAACGTAAAAAAAAAACTATTTCCGGTCGCGGAAGGGTTATTGCCGGAGGGAGCTGACGGGGGCTGGAGGCCACCGGCGGGGGACGAGGTGGCCTAAAGCCACACTTGGATGTGGATATCTGTCGCCTGCGCTGCGTATACCAGACAGTACACAATCTGGCTACGTTACTGTGTTAGCGCATGCGCAATATCTCACCAGAGCAGTTATATTTTGTGATGAATATGCATTTAAAATGGTTAGGGCGTATCTCCGCATAGATTTCCCTAATCAACTTTTATCAGTAGACCTGTCTTTATAATTACGAGAGCGCCCTAGCATGTAGGGTACAAAACACCTACTTTATGCCCTCGCTGGTAAAATCCGGTCTATAATATTCACTTTGCTCGCAGCATCACGCCTCTCATCTTCCCCGCTATGCGGATATTAACGTGCGTGGAGATGGCGCTCGTGCGTCGGTCATCGTTGACTGCCAAGAGCTTCGGCCGTTCTCATACGTTCAAACTAGTCAAAGACAGCTAGGCTGTGCATGGTAAAATCTATATGCTTCACTTTGCTCGCCGCATCGCGCCACGATTCCCAGCTTTGCGAATATGCACGAAAATGGCGCTCCGACGTCGGTCGCCGTTGACCGCCAAGATAATTTTCTTCGACAGTTCTCATACGTTCAGCCAGGTCGCGGGCGGGCCGACGGCATGACTGTGTGCATCGTTAAATCTTCTATAATCGTAGATCTATAATATTCTTTTAATTCACTTATATAATTAATTAATTTTCTGTACCGTGTCTGTTCCTCTCCCACGTTCACCCTTCTCTCTCTTTCTCTCTCTATCTCTCTCTCTCTCTCTCTCTCTCTCTCTCTCTCTCTCTCTCTCTCTCTCTCTCTCTCTCTCTCTCTCTCT